CCCCCGCCCTGCCCCTGCCCTGCCCTGCCCTGCGCGCTCTCGCCTCTGCTGTCCCGGGAGGAGAAGCCCGGCTCGCGGAGAGGCGCCCAGCGACCCGCCGGTTCTCCTCCGGGCTCGCAAAAGCAGCACCATCCCTGCCTTCCCTCCCTGAGCATCGCCCGCCTCCGCCCACCCCACGTGGCGGTACCAAAGCAACCTGCCCTTCCTGCCAAGGGAAGGCGGATAATCCTGGATAATTCTTAGAGTACTAATGGAAGCGCGGAGGGGGGTGGAGGGAGGTGGAAGGGAAGGAAACGGGCGGACACCCCCCATTTAGCTCAGAAGTGCGCCTGCCAGCTTTGCCCCAAGGCAGGGTTTGCCGTGCGCGTGCACATGGAAAGGGACGGGGCGCGCTTGGGATTGTGGTGCCATGACCCGTGGCGGAGAGGCTTCCTGATGAGCCCCCCGCCCCCCCGTCCCGCGACGTGCGCGCACTGGGGAGGCTTCCCGCCGCCTGCTCTTGGCCGTCCCCCCGCTAACGGGCCGGCGGCGCTTCCTGGGGCGCAGCGCCCGTGCGCTGCCGGCGGGGCCAAGCACCTTGGCTGGAGCAGGTGCCCCAGCGCGCCGCGCCTCGGCAGCTGCTCGACAGTGACTAAGAGCCGCTCGGAGCGTGACGGATGGGCGCCGCTCCCCCGCCGCTGCCCCGCGGCTCTCCCGCCGCCCCGCGGACGTGGCGCCGCTCGCTCCGGGCAGGGCGCTCGGCGGAGCAGCTGGAGCGCTGCCGGGCGGGACGTGACCGCTTCAGCCCAAGGACAGGCGCGGGCGGGGGGCGCTCCGGCCGAGCGGGGGCGGCGAAGGGCTCCGTAGCGCCGTCGATCGCGGCATCGCGGCGCTGCGCCGGCCTGGAGCAGGCGCGCCACAGCCAGCCGAACCCGCCGGCCCCCGCCGTGCGTCCTCCGAGGGCGGGCGCCGCTGCCAGGGCCGCCCCGGCCTTTCCCTGCGGACGGGGAGCCTCTCCTGCCCTCGCGGCGTGACTTCCGAGGCGGCCCGGCCACGTTGCCTGTCCCGCCAGCGGCCACCGCTTCCCGCAAGCGCGTTGCCTCTCCACGTCGGACCTGCGTTCAGCAGATCCTTCGGGGAAACGCGGCCGCGGGCAAAGAACCCTGGCATTTCTACCCCGCCTGGTTGCCCTCTTGCGAGGAGCGCACGGCGGCTCGCACGGGCCTCCTCTTCTCCAGTTCATCCTCACAACAGCCCTACACGCTGGAGAGTCAGGGACTGGTCCAAACGCAGTCAGCGAGCCTCTAGGCTTGAACCCGCGTGTCCCGACTCGCAGTGGAAAGCTCTGACCCAACACCGCTCTGGCTCTAAGGATGCGGCGCCCCTTTGACGCTTGGAAACGCCACTCAGCTTCCAGTTGCGGAGCGAGTAACGACAACCACGCACCCGCGGTCAAAGCGCCCCTGCCACGGGAGAAGCGCTGCGCCGATTCTTTGCTTTGGGGCGACGAGCGGACCACGGGCCGGAGGAGCACGGTCGACGGCAGCTCCGCCAGAACCGGCGGTCTGAAACCCTTCTCGCCCCATCATGTCCCATTAAGCAGGCTTCCACGACCCGGCGCCGTCCAGTCTGGGGGGCTACATCTCTCTTAACATCCCGGGCAGCAGCAGGGAAGTTGCACCCCACACATCTGAAGGGCGTCAGGCTGGGGAAGGGTGGGCGCAAGCGCGAGCCAAGGGATTCCCACCCCACCGAGCTGGCACCGCTGCCCGGAGAGCCCCGCCGCCCCGCCCGCCCGCGCCTGTCACTGGCCCGCTTGCGCGTCACTGGACAAGCAGGTGCACGGACGGACAGCCAGGCGTGCGTTCCTCGTGGCTCTCCGTGCACACGTCGGGCGATTTCATTTGCGGCTTTTCCGGGGGCCCTTTCCCCGGTTGTGCCAGGTGAGGGGCGTCCCAGACAGGTCGAGGCGCAGCCTGCTCGGGTGCAGGAGTTCCTGGCTCTCAACCCTTCTCTCCCCATGGGTCGAATGGATCGCACCGGCTGGGCCAGTCTTTCGCTCGGGTTTCTTGCGATTTGCCCGCAAAGACGCTAAAGCCCCTGGATGACCCTTGGAAGAGCACGGGGGCGTGAGGAGAGGAAAAGCTGCCCTCCTTTTACTGGCCATGCAAGAGTTAACCGTCCGCGGTCTGCAGGCAACACAGACAGTCCTATACATGGACTTGGACTTCGTGTTTGGATGGATTTCAAGCTGAGCCCTCTCTTTTGCACGTCTGATTCTCCAATAGTCACCTCGATCGAACTCCGAAGTCCAGTGCAACTGGACTTCACGAGTAACAGCTCCCCGATATCTTGCAAATGTGTTCGTGCCCCAAGAAAATCAGTAATAGCCAAGGGATGCTTACTCAGAAGTAAGCCCATGCCGAGGTTTTGCTCCCAAGGAGATGGGCGCAGGATTTGTAGGCCCTTGCTGCTGTTTGGTACAGCACCTATAAGCCCACAGGTACAGCGTGAAACTGCTGTCGTCCTAAATGCTCGTTCCCAGGTGAGTCTCACCGAGCCCCTGTTTAAGGGATTGCACGGCGAGGCTGTGATGCGATGCACACTCAACTGCGAATAAGGCACATGGCACAGAGCGGCGCTTACTTCCGAGTAAACATGCCTAGGAGCGGTTTGTCCGCCCGGTTTAACGTACTGCGAAGAGAATGCCGGGCTGCACGGACCCTTGGCCTGAAGCAGCCCGGTTGCCTGATTGGCAATGTGGAAACGCAGAAAGGCTAGCCCAGGGTGGGGGAAGGGACGGGACAATCCCCGTCTCCCTCACGGGAAGCCAACTTCGTAGGAAGTGCAGAGCGCAGGACTCGCCTCGCGTCGGTCCCTGTTTTTACGCGAAGCTGCAAGGGGAACGCTGCCAGCCGACGTCCCTTTTCTGCAATGCAGCATTTTTCGCAGTAGATGTCGCCTCTAATAAGTAAATAACCTGCCTTTAGAGTTTGCTCATTAAGAAAGATATAGTGGATCTTGGAGAGGGTGAAAAAGTATGGCGTGGCCTAGATATTATTAATGACTCGGGACAATATCCCTTGCATTTCATTAATCATCTGATGTGCACTCTCCTCTCTTCTGCCCCCCCCCGCCCCGCTCGTCCAATGACCTCAATGCAAATAAGCTTATCAAATGGGTCTAAATGACTGGCAATTTTTTGTGAATGGAATACTCAGTGACTGGAGGATGACGTAATTCGGGAGTCGGGGTTTCGTGGTCAACCGTGGATTGGTTTTATAGTGATATGCCAGATGCTGATTGGCTGGCGAGCGTTCATCGAACGCCTACACATTTTTCATCCTGGCGGTAGATATAAAAGGGGCTCGCTGGGCGCTGAAGACCATCACGGTTGAGAAACTCACGCTGAAGGAACCCCCACCACGCTGTACTCTTCCGACCGGAGCCTTGCGTTCGAGGGTAAGTGCTCTCATTTTCTTCTGATTTATCAGACTGACCCTGCGAGTGTTGGGAGAGTCAACATTCCCAGGATCGGAGAACTTGCAGGTCTGCACTGTGCTAAGCCCGCTGAATTTAATGAGGCTTACTCCCCGGTAAGCGTGTGCAGGATTGCAGCCCTAAAGTCATGAGCGTGCTTCAACTCACAGTTTAGGTATGTCAGGTTGACGGTATGCTGATACCTTCATCTTGATTCTTCTTCTCTGTGTCCCAATAGCGTTATTATCAATACTGGGGAAGAACACAGTCTGGCAGGGAACTGTCAAGAGCAGCGTAAGGGCTAGAAAAATAAGCGTTGGGACACCTTTATGTGTTGTTTTCTGATAGGACACCCCTCTCCTTCATTCCTGCAGACCAGAGCCTGGCCGTATAATTTTGAAACACAGCTGCTTTTCTGTCCATAAATAAAGTTAATGCCAAATCATATTATAAAGATATCTATAATTAGAAAAAAATATTTTCATGTAACTGGAAATGCTACTTAATGCCAACAATGGTTTTTCCTCCCTGAGACACTAGTTATGTTGCAGAAAAGAAGAGGGAGAAAAATTCTGTGGCACCTCAAATGACAATAATGCAAGAACTTCTCGCAGCCTGAGGTTTCTTACTGAAAAGTCAGGTTCACCATCTGAAGGGGCTGAACATGCATGCAAAGGCTGAGGACAGGGAAGAATCGTTTCAGAAAGCCACATTTCTTGATAGGAGAGATCTTTTTCTAGAATCTGATATACATCCTAATTTCCTTGAAGATGTCACCGTTTTTAAAAGAAATGTCATGGATATGGAAGTGCTTGATCTGTAAATCTCTGTGTGACTTTATTGTTTTAAAAGTTTTGCATTCTGGATTTTATTTCCCAGAAACCACATTTGATTTCCATGTCCGTAATAGGGCTTTTTATTTAAATGAAAGGGGGTACATGTTTGTCTAATAATTTTACAAGTGACCATCTGTGTCAGCATATCCTGAAGAGCTGTCCTTTTCATTTAAAACGAAATGTCCAGATTTTCTAGACTTTGATCTTTCATTACTTTCTGTAAGAAAATAGATGTAGACCCTTTCATTTTCCTTGAGACTTACCATGCGTGACGTGATGCAGTTTTCTAGTACTGTATGAAGATGATATGATAGGATGTTCCCATTGGTCTCCATCTGTTGCTTCGGTAGAGCAGAACATCCCCAGCCCTGCAGTGGCACATGAATTCTGCCAGAGCCCCCAAGATTCCTAGTGGGAGACCGGGGGCCTGTAAATTCTTTCCAATCATTTCTCAGGCCAGACCCACAAGCCGAACCCCAAGGAAAACATTCCCGAGAAATGGCAGCAGCCCTGGACTCATAGTGCGTGCTCTCCGGAGGGCCTGCCGCGTTCAGTGGGGCTCCAGCACAAGTCACGCCAGGGAGCCAGCCCTCCTTGCGTTCTTGAGCGAGAGGGCGTGCTCCGGAGCAAGGGTGCCGAGGATCGCCGCTTGCCGCGGGACAGGGCCGCTCCTCTCACGCAAGCCTTTCTTGCAGAGCGTCCGCGATGACGGCGGTGCTGAAGCTCTCCTCCGTGCTCGCCGTCTGCGCCTTAGTGCTGTCCCAGATGGGGACCTCCTACGCAGTGCCCCTAAGGTAAGGGAGCGGCAGCCTGCCGTGCACCACTCCACAACCGGGTGGAGACTTTGCGGGGATGTTGGAACCTGGCGACCTCGCCAGCTGCGAGAATGAATGAATGAATGCGCGAGGCCGCGGCGCGGGATCGACTTGCGAGGAGGGGGACCAGCCGGTTTTGTAGAGTCCTTGGCGAGCAGGGGACGGCCAAACGTGCCTTCTTAAAGCGAGATGATTTAAGACGGATTAACTATTCTGGGGGAGGTCCTTTTTTTTAGAAAGGGGGGTTTCTATTTCCTCGCTTCCAGGTCGTGGTGAACCGGGGATCTTAATCCGAGGTAGAGAAGAAGCTGTCGAAAGCGGGGTAGTAATTGTATGCTAGGGAGAGAGGCCATAGGAGCAAGTGTGTCGCGCAATGCCGCGCCCACCCCCCCGCCGCAGCCGAGGGACGAGTGCTCCCCCCTCCCCCGCGCCTTCGGCCGCCCCCCGCTCCCTGCCCTCCGAGTGACGGCTCTCCGGCGCCGCTGTCTCCACGCAGGCCCGGCTCAGAGCTGGTCACAGACCAGGGGACCCTCAGCGAGTACGAGGCTCGGAGGTTATTAAACGCGATGCTGAACGAGTACCTCCAGTTGGCGGCGGAGGACCGCGAGCAGGCCAGCGAAGGCAAGAGGTAAGCCGCCCCATGGAGCTCGACGGCTAGGGAGAGGATCGCGGCGCGGCGCGGCGCTGGGGTGGGGAACCTTCCCCTTTTGCGTGCGCTTTCCAGCAGAGCTGCAGCCCGCGGAGGGCGGGCGGGCGAGCGGACGGACAGCAGCGTCTCTCCTCGGATGACCTTGGCAGCTTGGGCGCGCCGGCCTCGCGTTCCGACCACGGCGTCCCCCAGTGGCTTTTAAGGGGCTCTCCCGAAGATCTGGGGTGGGGGGACTTTTCGTTTCTGCTTTGCTTTGGTTAACCTACAACAGAGTTACTTCTCTCAAAAAAAAAAGAAAAAAAAAGCTTTGAAGTTGAAAGAGAGGGGGTTAAAATGGGCCTGCAAGAGGTACGTCCAGCTTTTATTCCCTTCCCGTCCTGCACATGGCAACGATGCGGCGGACAGTCGCTCGGGTCTTGTCCTGGCGCGGCGGTGCATGAGGGTGGCCGCCCACCGGAGTAGGAGGCATGGTGGGAGAGGCCGCGGGCGCTCTCCGCTTCCGTTGCACGTAGCGCCCCCCTTCCCCTTCCAGGCCGAGGCTTGCAACTGCACTCCCACTGCCCCAATGAGCTGCTCGGAAAGCATGACGACGAATGACAGGCTCAGCGATGCTGCATGCCCGCCCGAAGAGGTCGACAGCCCCCCCCCCCGCGGGTTGGCTAACAACCGGCGCCCCCAGAACGGGCCGATCACGACCCCTGCCCCGTTTGCTTGAGGAGCAGCCCTCACCCTCCCGGACGACTCCAGCCCGGTTCCCCTCCGTGGTTTCCTTGCATGAACAATTGACACTGGATCAGATGGTCTTGCTTTTCTGTTGGAACACGGGTGGTGGTTTTGGTTTCGCCTGTGTCCGGGAGAGGAGCGGGTTGGTGAGGGGCGGGGGGGGCGGCATGAGGGCGCATGGTTCTCTTTTACTTTCTTCGGCATGTTTTTTCCCCCGCTGCAGCTTGGATAGACCCATTTCCAAACGCTGTGCCAACCTGAGCACTTGTGTGCTGGGCAAACTGTCTCAAGAATTGCACAAATTGCACACTTACCCTCGCACTGACGTCGGGGCTGGAACTCCTGGCAAGAAAAGGAATGTGCTGAATGACCTGGGAAATGAACGCTATGCAAACTACGAGGGAGGCCTCGGAAACAACTAGATTGGCTCGAATTTCCTTTCCCCTCTCTTATTCCCCTCCTTGCCTTTTCTTTGCATGTGGATCTAACCTTGATTGCTAACTTTGCTATGTTCTGTTGAATCTATTTTTGAGCAAGAAAGCTTAACTGGATCAACTTCAAGTAGAAAATTAAGGATGCAATCCTACAGGTGTTTAGACAGGGGAAAAAAAATCTTTCAACTCCCAGCATCCCCCAGCCCGGGTGGAGAATGCTGGGAGTTGCAGGACTCCCCCCCCCCCCCCCCCCCCCACAGGACTTTCTGGGTCTACACAGGCATAGGATTGCACCTTGAAGAACATCACACACACTCACACGCGTGCGCACACACAGGGTTGTGGGTGGTGGGTCCTGGGGAAAAGCATATACTGAATTAAAATGAAAAGAATAAATAACATTGCCTTGCCAATTACAACTGATTTTCCTTAGACATTTATTTTACAAATAATATTTTGATTTCTGGCCACTCATTGTGAAATTAAATAAATAAATGTTTCTTTCATGCCTGACCATGGAACTGTTCAATAAACCTATTTTTCTACAAGGATCAGGTCTATTTCTAATTATGAGTGACATTTATCAGGATATATGGGTTTCAGGCATGGTTTCTCATCACAGAATGAAAGTAGATTACCTGAATGATTTTAACACAAAGTTTTCAAAATATTTTTATTTAAGTACCATCTTCCCAGTACAGGATGAATAGAAAGGGTATCAAGTTTGCTCCAATTAAAGCAGTGGGTAAATTCACACTGGCTTTAAGAGCATAAATTTTCCATCTTTATTTAGTCACCCATCTTTGTAGAAATGTAGTTATATAGTCTGCAAATCTTAAAAATATAATCCAGTTGCAAAAGTTACATTCTGATTGAATTCATACAGGTAAGAAATTAAACATTTTATTTCTCTATCCTTGTTTGATTTTGCACTAATCTGTGTGAAGAATTAATATTTGTTCAATTAGCCTGAGTAGATTTGAGGTCATCTTAAATAACCATTGTGGAAACATTTTATAGACAATCTGGATGTGTGTGATGTGTCTGTTTCGTAATTTAAATGCTCACTGGAAAATTTCTTTCTCATGTTGGGTTCAATCCATCTGGACATTGGAAGATAACCATTGGAAGTTATCTTTGTTATCTAGCCCAAGTGCTTGAGTTTTGTCAGCTTTGGGCATAAGAAAAGTCTGGCTGAACCAGATCATCTTGTCCAGCACTTTGTTTTCTATGGTGGCCAATCAGATGTGTCCGGGGAACCCTGAATAAGGACATAAGGACAATAATTCTTGCCACTGCTTTCCTATTTTGTGGCATGCCGTCTCTGGTACTGAAGGTAATACATAACCATCATGATTATCCAGTGGTCGGTATTTATCCATATTGCAGGGCATAGTTGATGAGGGCTAGTAGCCTTACTATAATTGTTTCCTAGTTAATACCTTTGAAATTTGAAATACAGAATATTATCCTACTGTTCACATGCACTTATCTGCCTATGGGGCTGCTACTATTGAATCATCTTGAAACAACATATTTTTGTTTTTCAGGAAGTAGGTCAAAATATTTCTGTTTGTTAAAAATATGAGAGAAAGAATAGAACACATTATTGAATTTCATCTTGCTCTTAAAACAATAGAACTCCAGGATTTGAAGCCTGATCAAATAGAGCATGGAAACCTTTAAATTCAGATACAAGCCAACATGCCACAATATTATTATTAGACATTTTCCAGGGTTCTCCTAAATAGTGTGGTGAAATCAGAACCCTCCATCGAAGATCTTACTGTTTCCTTTGTTTTTTGTTTTTTGTTTTTTTTGGAAACACAGCGCATCAGCACAGAAAAGGTCATGTAACACATCAACCTGCGTGACTCAGCGTTTGGCAGACTTCCTGAGTCGGTCAGGAGGAGTGGGCAACGAAGGCTTTGTACCCACCGATGTTGGATCAACTGGTTTTGGCAGGCGAAGAAGAAATGTTCAAATGTAACCCGCCAAATGATCCCTGGAATATGGTAAATGAATAATGGTTCCTATTAGCAACATCCAAGTTACCAACGTATATACATTTATTCATTGGTTGGATGACACATGAAAAATGATCTTCATTGAAAGTGAATAACAGGCAGGATTTTGACTCAGTTTCTTTAAGGAAACATCCTCTCCTGTAGATAAGTATAGGGTATATGTGTGTTAATATCACTCAGTGTTGCAACCTGCAGAAAGATCAGGGTTGGTTATATTTAAATGTTAATTCTTACTGGCCTTGGCATAGCAGAGCTAGGTTTCTGTTAGAGGGATGTTCTTGAGGTCTAAACAGAGGCTAGCAGTGCAATTTTATTTATTCTTATAGAGAAGCTGTATTCAGCTTACCACCTAGTAGGTGGTTTAGAATGGGAAAAAATGATCCACATACAAGAATTGAAATTGACTGGAAAATTAATGCAGCATTGCAACTAAACATGCAAATAAGAAACTAGAATGAATTATGTGCCAGATCATGAATTTGTAACATCTTAACATATAATGTAGGCATTGTGCATTTTCATTTATAATCTGTGTATTACTTGAAATAAGCTTGATCTATCCTCATCTTGACTTCTGTTACCAGTTGATAAATTGCAATTGGCTCACAAATTGTTGTGGGCAGGATTAGAGCTTTGGAGAGGTGGGCGCACGTAGACTTGTCTCCATTTCTCATTTCCCCTTTTCTCCTGACTCTGTATTCTGGGAGGGTAAGCTACAGGCTCCTTTCCTATTCAGCATTTTCTCCCAGGGCCTCCTCCAGCCATCACCAAAGCACCTCCTGTTTCTACCTGGCTTATACTCCCTTGGGAGAAAAAAGCCCTGAGGTGGTACTGCTACATAAATGAGTGGCTTTGCTTCTGCTAGGATGCTTCCAGCTTTTCCAGAGGATGTCACTCAAGAAGAAACAAAAAGTATCCTGAAAGACTCTTCTAGGCATGGCTTCTTCTCCTTATCCAGGCTGTTTTATTTACTCTTGAACCAAGTAGTCCTTGACAGGCCCTCCAGGCCTGACAAAAAGTTCAGATATGGCAGAAATGAAACACCTTGTTTTCACAGATACATATCTAGGTTGTCTGAGTTTCTAATTTACTCCCACTCAGAACATTTGAGTTTCAAGACAGAAAAATGCTATAAACATTTAGAGCATTTGAATACAATAGACTGAAGCTAGTCATGCTTATTTTACTTGGCCAGTTATATGACTGTGGAGTAAATGCTGCTTAAAACAAATTAATTGTATGCAATAAAACCAAGTTGAGTGTCCATTAACTGAAACATTATCTGGGTAGTGTCTTAGGAGGGAGGGGGCTAGTTCAATTTTAATATTTTAACTCAGGGCTGGGCAAAAGGTAGGTCTCTGGATGTTCTGAGCTTCAGCACTCGGAAGCCTCTGCCACTCAAGAGTCAGCTATGCTGGGAACTAAAAGTCCAAAACATATGGAGAGCTCTTTTCTGCCCACTCCTGTTTTAGCCCAGCCTGTGTCATCACGCCCCAGCGGAAAGAGCGGCTGAGCAGCTGAGGTTATCCAGTTGCTTGTTTTACCCAGCAAATTATCTGCAGGCTGTTTGGTCAAGTGGGTGGGTGCATGCTTCTGATTCTGATTCCAGTCTAATGACCTGAAATACCACTTTCAGTCTAATGCCAGGAAATCGCAAATAAAACAAACTTTTCTTTGACAAAGGTTTATAATCTCTGATCTGGTTTCTTTCAGATTGCCGTGAGACTGAGCAGCAAACATCCTTTAATTTCTCTTGATAGCAACTTTCTTCCATAAATCAAGATGGCTGCATAGAAGACTCATTTTTGCATCCTTCTAATATTGAACAATTTTTTCTTTTAAAATTAAAGCACTTCTGTTATATAATATATATTCTATCAAAATAATTATTCAAATGAAATGGTTGTATATTCTTTTTATATGCAGTTCTATTTCAAATAAAATATGAAGCATATATTTATTTATCTATCTATCTATCTAGCTATCTTCTAACCTATCTGTGAAATAAGACCCATGCTATTTATCTTGGCAATATTGCCAAATCTCGGGGATTATACTAAACTCCTGCCTATCAAGGTATATGTGTAAGATATGGTGTGCTGTGCCTTGATGTAAAACATTTAACTGACATGATTGTACAGTATGTTGAAAATACACCTACAATATTGTATCATTTGTGAATTTATGCAAAATTAAAAAAAAGTATTTTAGATACACATGGTTTGAGCAACTGATCTTTCATTTCAACATCTTTCTTTAAAATGCTAGATTTACTGTGTAGCTTTCTTGAACCACTTGGCAGAGTCACTGCTTTGGACCAATTTCAGCAGAGTTTGATCAGTTCCTTATGGCACTTTAATGTTCTGTGCAACTCTTAGTGCTATAAAATGTTAGTTAATAAGGTTCATGGTACAGAACCTGTGCAGCCTTCTGCAGAACATCAGGCCAGATTCTGGTCCCTAGCACAATGCAGTCATAACCATTCTGTATTACAGCAACACCAACTCTGTATTGAGGTATATGTAGAAGCCAGGGGAATCCACATTTCCTTTTGAGACTGACAGCAGCATAAAGGGTAGATGGAGAAAATGCAGCTTATCAAGGGGTGCAGAGAAAATGCATTCTACTCTTCTGCAATTTCAGGCTACAGTTTTATACACTTACCTGGAGTATATCCCACTGAACTTGGTGGGGCTTACTTCTGAGCAGGCATGTTTGCACAGCAATCTGTCAAGTTCCAGATTGTGAACTCTGAAAAACACATGTGCTGCAAGGGTGTCACAGAAAGATAAACTGGAAGCCATTAATCTGGCATGACAGATACACTAAAAAACCTGAGGAGCAGAGGCACCTTTCCAGATTGTAGAGCCTGACTTTTCAAATAGCTCTGAAATTCTGTTTCTTTTGAAATCCACTCGATCAGGGTTGCACCCTGAGCCTTTGGGAGAGGAAATATGAGTACCTGCTTTTTAAATACCTGCTTGCACATTAACACTTACTCTAGTTCTGCATTTTACAACAAATGCATCCT